CCTTTAATGAACAATTTTCATGAAAAATAAAGTCAAACGAACACCAAAAAATTCAAAATTTCAATATTTTTCAGATGAAAAATTATATTAATCAAACACAATTAATTGACAATTCACAGTAACACAAGTTCTAGTCAATTCAATTTCTTGAAATTCATTTTCTTTCTACTCAAATTCCATTCTTGCAATCAAACGAACCCTTAGAGTTGACTGTGTGTATTTTTTTTCATTATTTTGCTCTAGTCATTGCCCAAAGATTAGTGCTTTAGAGAAAGAAGGATGAGGCAACAAATTTAGTGCAACTAAGTTTTCAAGTGATGAGAACCAACCATAAGATACCCCCCTTTTGACAAAGCTGATCAAAATACAAAGCACTAGAGAAATAAAACAAGCTGTTGAACAAAATACTACTACCTTAGTGGCTTTTTGTCATGTCTATCAATGCCTTTTCTTTTTAAGCCCAATATTGTGATAGGTCAATGCCATTCACAGTATCATTCCCATTGGCCTTCCATTTCATATATTAACTCGATTCTTCAACTTGCTTTAACATCATGGCCCGATAAAGTAGACTTTACAGTACTTCTTATGTTCAACTGTGCACCAAACTTGTCTTCAATGGTAAAATATGTCATGTTGAAGCTACTAGACACTTCGACCAATCGACAACGCCATGCTCTATCTAGTCTATTACAAGAACTCGAACACGAGCTCCGGCGGCCATCGAGTTAAATACAATATTCCCACATCTTGTTCATGATATCAAGCTTTTATTAGTTATACAAATTCTTGTTTTCTTCTCTTCGACATGTTGTGTGAGGTGCAGGCTGAGTTGACTACAGTGAAGTCAAAAGCCAGGGGTCAGATTATGATGCAAAAAGATAACAGACATGGAGTGCCAAATAGTTATAATATATGCTTCAACTTTACTTACTTTCTTGTTTCTTTTTGTGAAAGTCAAAGGAAAGGAACTTTTGAATATACAAAAATAATCAATATAGTTATGAAGGTAAGGTGAATTTGGAAAGAATTTATAAGCATATTTTACAGGCAAATGCACTAATGGAACTCTTCTGCTTGGTCCTTAACAACAACAAACTAAGCTGTATTAACCGCAAACTTAGGGTCGACTATATGAATCTTTTCTGCAACTTATTGGCTCGGGCATGAAGGTCTGTCTAGGAAAAGGAAATGGAAGTGCAATGAAAGATAGGATCAAATGGACCACATTGCTAGATAATGTTCTAAAGCAACTACAAGTAAAAAGTAGATCTTGGCTATGAAGATAATAATAGTGAAATTTAACACCATACTACCTGGTAAAGTAACTCAAAAGCTTTCGGATTGGTTGGGGGGGGGGGGGGGGGGGGGGGGGGGGGACGAGGGAATGGCAATCAATCCTTTCAGGGACGAAGAGGCATAGTCGAGTAAAATGTAGCACCATAAATATATTTCCTGGTGAAGTAAGACTTGTGATGACTCAAAAGCTTACAGGGAGAGTTAATTAATGCTTTCCGGTTTGAGCAGGGACTAAATGGCATAGTCGAGTGTGATGTAGCAATACACTACCTAGTAAACTCCACAAATCTACGTACAAAATCCAATGTTACCATTGCTGTTATTCTTGAGTTTCTGAACCTAAAAAGATGGTGACCCTTTTTTTCTCCTTCAGATTGATTTCCATATAGTGTATTTCTTCAAGTTAGTAAACAACTTGGCACAACTGGCTTCAGCAACTTCGAATTGCATAAGTAAAAGGAATTGAATTCTGCAACTATGTTTAAGTACAATAGTCATTGCTACTAATCTATTAAAAATTAAGTGCCAATGTCAATGTCTAGAAAGAAAAAGATGGATGAATTTAAAGTGAAAAATCGAGGCCTATTCTAGAGATAAAATTAACGATATTGGAAGGCTTCTAACAGTCGACATGACACAAAATTAATTGCAATTCCAGCACTATCCTTGATGCAGCAAACAGTGCATAATGAGGACACTTATCCATCAGGTTATCCGAACCTGCTGTGGAAGAATTGGCAGCACATCGTCGTCATCATCCTCTGGAGCCGGAAGATTAAGATCCAGTAAATTGGGAAGATCGGACTTGATTTCTTGAGTTTGATTGTTTTTCTCCCTATGACCACTGATAAAATGAGATCTCTTGTGCCCCCCTAAAGCCTGGCCGTTCTTATAAACCTTGTCGCAGAATGGACATGCGTGCACTTTGTTTTTCTTAGGCTTAACATTTTTCTCCAAATTGTTGGATGAATTTTTAGCAATTGGTTTCTTATTGCTAACTAACCCTCCATGCTTACGTGCAAATCTGGAATCAAGAGTGTTGTCGTCTAGGCTGTTTTCACTAGTTTCGTACTGTGATTCAGAAAGAACATTGCTTTTTTTGTGGCAGGGTCTATGGCCTCCAAGAGCCTGATACGAGTTGAAGGTCTTTTTACAATTCAAGCATTCATATTTACTTCTCGTCTGAGCCTTATTGCGTACTTGTGAAGAACCATTTTCCATCCTTCTACTCTCAGAAATGTACTTTCTCTTTCGTGACTCAATCTTAGCAGAATTCCAAGTCATCCCATATGCATGTTCCTTCGTAAATTCCTTTCTTATCTCTGTTTCAAAATGCTCGACTCCATACAAGTTCTTCCTGAATTCAGTAGCAGACTCCTCACGTCTAGCTCCAACGCTCATACACAGCTTCTTGGAATCATTGGAAGAACTGTTTCTATAGAACCCATCCACCGATATATCGGAGTAAACCTTAGTGCATTCATCTAAGAAATAACCGGAATCTGAGTTGTCCATTTGAGCAACGTCATCATCCAAAGCAATAGCTTTTGATTTCCTATCCGCAATTTTCTTCATTTGAGGAGTCTCGCCTGCATTTTGAACATATTCTAGGCATTCCTTTCCACGAATTTTCATGTCAACGGACGAAGATTTAGTCGCGAGAACAACTGAATTATTATCAAGAGACTCGACAACTGAATTCACATTCCCAGAGTCCCTAGACAACATCATTAAACACAAGGCTACGTCCTCTTGTTCTTGCTCCTCGACCTCAGAAACAGACGAAGAACCATTAGCTAAAGAAAAAGGAGGTGACTTAAGAACTACATTCTTGTACCTCTTACTCTTTGCTGATCTTGTTCTCAGCCTAAAATCCTCAACCTCAGTATCCGAATAACTATCCATCGCCGTCCAAGAATTATCGTCCTTCAAACCCCTCTCCCTCTCCGAATGACACGCCATATGACCACACAATGCTTTCATTGATTGAAACCCTTTACCACATTCTTTGCAGACCTTCTCAAGTGGCAAGGGAAAGGTCGAACCGACAGCCCTCCATGTTTTCCTGGGATTTCCTCTTAGTACATAACTTGATTGTCCATTTCCAAATTCAACAACCTTCGACTCTTTGATGAAATTCTTTCCACCACCGTTAACAAACATCATCTTTTTCATGTTAGCTTCAACTTTTTCCTCAGATTCAGTAGAATTAGCAATTATATGAGACCTCATGTGACCCTCTAGTGACTTCCCACATGGATAACTCTTGTTGCACAACTTGCAAACAAAACTCAAAACTTGATCCACCTCCATTGATTTACTTGATCCACCAACAAAGACTCAATACTAAAAGCAAGAACAGCAAGAAATCGTCTGCTCAAATTGTAAAATAATGCAGCAGTTCTTGATCCAGCCCCAACCAAATAGTTCAACAAGCAGAGGAACAAAAAAAAACCCAGATCAGAAAAGTAGAATTAGAGTATAAAACAAACTTGAGAAAGTTCAAATCATGTATGTGGGATTGGGCACAGATCATAAAATTTATGGCTTCATATGCACAAGTGATGCAAACAGGATCAGATGTGACAGTTTATGGAATCAGACTCAGAACAAAAGAAAAACTCTCTTAATCCTATTTCCATGTATTCTCACTCAATCACAAAGAAACAGGAATATAAATGATAATTGTTTCGAGTTTTTGAAGATTTCAACTTGGAAAAATGAACTTTTGAACAGTTAAGAAATAAAACAGAAGCAAATGACTTTTTCTTCCCTATATTTCTCCTTCTCTCTCCTTTTGTAAATATTCACACTTTCTCTCTCTTTTTCTTGTTTGTGAGTCATAAGTGGAGCATTTCATGCATGGAAACAAAATAAAAAGATGGGTGACACGTGTATCTAAAAGAGTCGAGTTCGTCGGTCCAAATCTAATGGCCAAGATCTATTTTCCCATCCCATAAAACTCATTGATTTTCTTTAATTAAATGGGTTTTTGGAACTTTAGGAGATTTATTTTCTCACACGTTTACTAGTCAAAGCTTTGTCATGTGACGTTTCAACTTGGAGAGGCTTTGAGAAAAAGAGTGTGATTTGGGGGTTGAATTGTATAAATTCCAGAGTCAAAACTTGTGATTAATATCGGAGTTTATAGGAAAAAGATTTTCGAACGAGGATAGTTCAAAATTTATTATGTTTGGTGGGATGAATTGGACAAAATTATAAAGGGAAATATAGTAATAAAATCGTGATAAAATCGAACAATAATTAGGTGTACTAAGCAACCAGATTATGTGTTCAAAAGGCTCGTGGTCTAAAGGATGCTTTTAATGTAAGTCCATGTTTGGCTAAGCTTCAAAAATTTACTTATAAGTAAATACATTTTAAAGTAAACCGTCAAAATTAGAAATAAATTGTTTATTTTGAAAGGAATTCTACTTTTGTTTCATGATAAGTAAGAAAAATTAATACATTCAAAGTGAACATTTGGCTAATAAGTTTATATATTTTTCATCATCACATATGATAGGATCAACAATTTAAGCACTTAAAAGCATAATTAAACCAGCAAAATGTTACTTAAAAATAAGAAAAAGATCAACCAAACATTAGAAAAGTCTTCCAAAAAAGAAGGTACTTTATCATTTATTAAATTGCCATTTTGTGGCCATTAGGCTCTCTCTCTCTCTCTCTCTCTCTCTCTCTCTTCCTTCCCAATGTGAGATCCAACCCATTGTTTTGTTCAACCTGTTACAGATTAAGCACTCTTAAAACAGATAATAATGACTAGTTTAATTACCCTAATGTAAAATTGAAGTGTGACTAGAAAATATCATGCTTCTACACATCCATGATTCATGAGTGTGTCTGTAATAGGAAAATAATTAAGTTGACACCAATGTTGATATGGTATGGTAATGAAAATGAAATGGAAAAAAAAAAGGAAGAAAGAAATTAAGTAATTATTAATGTTGATGTAGCACGTGATGACCTCAAAATTATCACTAATCTTTACGTGTCAGGTAAAGAGTATCGAAGGTACCCGTAGGGATACCAGATTTCGATTCCAACTTCCAAGGAATAGCTCCGTGATCTTGATCGCATTAAAATGTTCACAGCATGTGTACGAGTGTGTTGAAATATGTATAGCAAGAATGACTTCCAAATTTGACGGTTACGTTAAATGATAGTAAGGTTTTTCATATAGGGCAGACTACGAGGTATTGTGATGCTCAAATTACTCAATTTGTTTGGAATATCATCGTAGTAAAATATTTATATGCATCGTGTGTGTTTTGTAAGTTGGAACATACCACAATATGAACGGAATTAAGAGAATTTATTTTGTATTGCACCTATCTTTCTGATCCTACCAACAATGTGCAAAAATGAAATTCTTATAATTTACTTAGATATATAATTATAAAATTAAGAGCACATTAATTAAAAACCTATTAAAAAAGTATTAATGGAAGGTTGAATAGGACATTAATTGTAATTTTTAGGCAAATTGACAATTAATAAATTAGGCATTCATTGATGGACCCAAAAGCACTTATTATGCATATTTTCTAGTGTAATTTCTATGCACAAGTAATTGAAAACATGCTCAAATTAAATTAGCAAAGAATTGAGGGGTACATAATATAGAATTTTTTTTTATTTTTATAAATCTCAATAGGAAACCTCAATGCTATGGTACAATTTACATGCAACTCGTATTTTTCTTTGTATTTCGAGTTAAATTTAAAGAGGTAAGATGATTTTGACCATCAAAACTCAACATATTCCTTGTCTTTTGAGTGGCTTGGACGCGTGCATGCCTATGAAAATACCCAACTTTATCGATTTTTCTTACCATCATGGGTCCCCAACCCTAAACAACTTTAAGGAGGTGGTTTAGTAGTCCTTGTAAGTGCAACTTGATATAATTATATTTTCTCTCATTTCTTGTCATGTTCATAAATGAGTTCTTTGATTTGTCAATTATATTATGACAATTTCAGAGATACTCCCTCTCTTCTAAAACTTACATAAACTTTTTTCAACAGTGCTCCTCAAACAGGGTGGAGGATCGACCCAAAAATAGGGAGTTTAGGTGCCATTATCTTAGCCCTTGATTTGAATTGGGTCGGTCCTTGGCCCTGTTTGAGTGGCATTTTTCAACTTTTCTTGAGGTTCACTTTTCTTAACCGATCCCACTTGTCTGCAAAACGTAAATGTACATTTTCATTTTACCCATTTATACCAACTACAAATATTATTATTGATTATATGTTTTGATCTCAGCGTTGCCTCACCCCATTTAGGTAATTGGGGTGGGAACGGAAACATGGTCCTTGTCCGAATCTTCTTACTTTATTTTTATGTTTTTACATTTAATTGATATTTTAAAAAACAAATAAATAGTTATCTAGACACGATAAATAGAGATTTTAATTTTCATGCTGCTCATCCCAACTCTGCCTCCCGAAAATTCTAAAATGGGATAGGGAAGGGAGGGCAGGTTTGACCTCTTTTTGGCCCCTTGCTATCCCTACAAATGAATAACATGTCAACATAAATACTTAATAATTTGACGTTTTAAAATAATTTAATAAAACTAATTGAAAATTCATTAAATATTTTATATTACTTAATTTATCATAGTAAAAAAATTTCATTTTTATTTTTTGAATACTCGTAACATACATACTATATATGAAGTTTAGAAATTTTAAATAATATTATCATAACATTAATTAAAGAAAATTTAAAAAAAAAGGATGGCATCTAAAGGTTTTTAACCCTTAATTTTTTTTATTTTTTGTTCTTTTCATATATTTTATTGTAGTAAATATTTAGATGAATTTTAGTTTTTTCAATTTTCAAATGAGAAATAATGTTTTTACAACTAAGATGAAATTGTACAAATAGATATGTATAAAAAACTAATAATAATAAAAAATTAGAGGTGGACATTTTTTTCCAGAATCGATGGAACCGGACCGGAACCAAATAGAACCAATCGGTACGGCTCCAATTCCTCTACTAAATGGATTGATTTTGGGACCTTACATGAATCTATTGGTTCTGGATCGACTCTCGATATTGCCTTGAGAACCAACAATTAATTCAGTTCTCTCGAATTTCTCATTTTACTTGTACCAAGATGCACTAGATCTTTGAACACTAAACCCCAAAATTATCTCACATTAAAATTTCATTTTCCATACGTTTATTCTTCTTTCCTTTATTGGGAAATAAAAATTCAAGTCCAAATAATTTTATAAATATTTTACAAATTCAAAGTTTTAATGTAACACAATAGGAAAAATATATTTTTTTAGTTCAATATTTCATAAAAATTCAAATTTCTTGTTATCTTCATAGTAGTCGACCATCAATAATCGCGATCCTTGAGAATTACTAAAAATAATCAATTGTTATATGAATTTTGTTAAAAATTAAGATGGAGATTTTACCGTTTATGCTGTATTCAATAGTATATCATTTTTCGCTTTTATAAGTTGATCATGAGCTTTGAAATTGATTTTTGTTTGTTGCCTTGTTCAATTGTTTTTTGTATTGTTAGATTACAATAATAACAAGTGATTGCATACTCTATTTTTGTGTCTATTTTCAATTTGACAAGTAATTTCATACTTTATTTTTATAAAATTTTCAATATAAAAAACCAGACTAGATCGGATCGAATCAGAATTGATTTGTTCAATATGAAACCAATGGTTCCATCTCTAAAATTCTCATTGGTACTTGGGTCGGTTCGATTCGATTCCTTTCAGAATTAGATAGAATAAAAACGTGCCTACTCCTAAAAGGAATAAGCTTTTTTGAATCAAAACAATGTATTCTGCTTATATTAATTAAGCCCTTGTTTGACATCCATTTTGTTTAAAAAATAATTTTTGAAATAGTTATTGATGGAAGATTGTGCGGTTAAAAAGTAAGGAGAATTTTCGAGTTTATGTGTAATATTATTTTATTAATATAATGTGTGGTTGAAATAAAGAAAGAGAAATAAAATGAGAAAAAATGGGTGCCAAACATGGACTAAGAGTTAAATATAAGAAAATAAGCATAATTCTAAATATTAATTGCAAATTGGAAAGTTAATATGAGAGGAGGTTTCTGCCACTTTTAGAAGGGGAGGGATGTTCCTGCAATTATCATAAACTTTAAAGGAGATTTACGTAATTGTCTCTTAGGATGCATTGAGCATGGAAAAAAAAATTCTAGGTAATTCAATTGTTCAGAACTTATTTGTATGAAAATTATTAATTAAATGTTTGATTGATTTAGTTTTCAACCTAAAAAATATTATACTTGTCCTTTTTTTTTATAACTCAAGTCCCTGAGTTTCGCCCGACTAATCTTGAGGAGTGACGACCTTCTCCCCAATACATTCGGATGAAATCACAGCTTATACACACTTGGACCGGATATATGGAAAGCGATTCTCCTCCCTATGAACCTCCCATTACAACGTGCAAACAGAACCCCCGAAGGGATACAAAACGCACTATAACTTTGTCATCAAAGGACATCTATCTTCCAATATAAATGTTGCCTTACAGCTACCACGAAAATTTGAATCTCCGATACTCCGTAGAGAACCCTCATGCTTTACCACTGCACCATACCTGTAGGGGCTATACTTGAATTTTTTATTGATGGATAGATGAAGAGGGAGAATTACCTAGAAATAAAAATCACATCTCCCTAAATAAAATATTTTCCTTATTCTCAGGGAAAATATGATCACGTGACCAAAAGTTGGAAAATGTTTTCTTTGAAAAAAAATTGTCAATCGAACAGTACCAAAAGTGAGCACTCGGCCAGAGCGGCTCGCATGGCCAAATTGCTGCTCAACTCACCCCACTTAACACCCCTAACCAGACCTGGCATGCCATACGAGTCGCACAAAATCTGACTAATGAGACAATAGTGATACAGGAGATACAGATATCTACTAATAGAAAGAGATTCATGAAAAATTTCCTTCGAAAATAATAATTGAAGAAGTTTCCATAAAATTCAAAGCTACATTAATATTAACTTAAAAGAGAGGATTATGATGAAATGAAAATGGACATTCTTTTCCAATCTCGCATTGGCAGATTTTCAATTGTGCATACAAAAATGGAGTCCTACCTGGTACTGAATGAAACTCCAACCTGTCATGGAGTTTCTGCAAAAATATATATACAAAGGGAAGACTCCGAAAGCTTTCTTTCAAAGTGTCCTCTTTCTATCCAACCTCATCCTTTTTATATCAAGGCCCAAAAAAATGTAGAATAAATACCGCAAATAGGCCTTGAAATATGCTCTAGCTAATGCTTTTTTCATTGTTTGACTTACTCTTCCAAGCATCATGGGGTCCAAATATTTCTTCAATCATATTGCTCGTTGGCAAAAGATCAACTGATTTCATCAGACCCGTTGAATACGTGTCACTCCAAACATTTGCATCACATGATTCCATTACAAACCCAAAACCAAAACAGTCATTTGACTCTGACTCGGGTGCAAGTTCACTTGAGAATTTTCTATGATCGTTTTTGTTTCTGTTATCTTGCCCCACACTCCCAAGACCAACTGAGCCCATGAAATCTGTCATCTGGGATTGGGTTTTGGATGAGAGACCAAAGAGTTCTTCAACATCTAGATCTCCTTCAATCTTGCTTGGAATTCCATCCAAATGATAAGGTTTATAATCAAATCTGAAGCCATCATGCAACTTCTCAGTCTCTAATCTGGACATTTGACTTGCACCATCATCCATCTCAATGGCATATCTCTGACCAACATCATCATTCCCATCAGAATTCCTGTCCTCATCCTCATCATTTTGAGAAGAAGAATCATGTTTTTACATTTAATTGATATTTTTAAAAACAAATAAATAGTTATCTAGACACGATAAATAGAGATTATAATTTTCATGCTGCTCATCTCAACTCTGCCTTCCGAAAATTCTAAAATGGGATAGGGAAGGGAGGGCAGGTTTGACCTCTTTTTGGCCCCTTGCTATCCCTACAAATGAATAACATGTCAACATAAATACTTAATAATTAGACGTTTTAAAATAATTTAATAAAACTAATTGAAAATTCATTAAATATTTTATATTACTTAATTTATTATAGTAAAAAAATTTCATTTTTATTTTTTGAATACTCGTAACATAGATACTATATGAAGTTTAGAAATTTTAAATAATATTATCATAACATTAATTAAAGAAAATTAAAAAAAAAATGATGGCATCTAAAGGTTTTTAACCCTTAATTTTTATTTTTTATTTTTGTTCCTTTTCATATATTTTATTGTAGTAAATATTTAGATGAATTTTAGTTTTTTCAATTTTCAAATGAGAAATAATGTTTTTACAACTAAGATGAAATTGTACAAATAGATATGTATAAAAAATTAGAGGTGGACATTTTTTTCCAAAATCGATGGAACCGGACCAGAACAAAATAGAACCAATCGGTACGGCTCTGATTCCTCTACTAAATGGATTGATTTTGGGACCATACATGAACCTATTGGATCTGGATCGGCTCTCGATATTGTCTTGAGAACCAACAATTAATTCAGTTCTCTCGAATTTCTCATTTTACTTGTACCAAGATGCACTAGATCTTTGAACACTAAACCCCAAAATTATCTCACGTTAAAATTTCATTTTCCATACGCTTATTCTTCTTTCCGTTATTGGGAAATAAAAATTCAAGTCCAAATAATTTTATAAATATTTTACAAATTCAAAGTTTTAATGTAAAACAATAGGAAAAATATATTTTTAGTTCAATATTTCATAAAAATTCAAATTTCTTGTTATCTTCATAGTAGTCGACCATCAATAATCGTGATCCTTGAGAATTACTAAAAATAATCAATTGTTATAAGAATTTTGTTAAAAATTAAGATTGAGATTTTACCGTTTATGCTGTATTTAATAGTATATCATTTTTCGCCTTTATAAGTTGATCATGAGCTTTGAAACTGATTTTTGTTTGTTGCCTTGCTCAATTGTTTTTTGTATTGTTAGATTACAATAATAACAAGTGATTTCATACTCTATTTTTGTCTATTTTCAATTTGATAAGTAATTTCATACTTTATTTTTATAAAATTTTCAATATAAAAAATCAGACCAGACCGGATCAGATCGAATCAGAATCGATTTGTTCAATATGAAACCAATGGTTCCATCTCTAAAATTCTAATTGGTCCTTGGGTCGGTTCGACTCGATTCCTTTCAGAATTGGATCAAATCAAAACGTGCCTACTCCTAAAAGGAATAAGCTTTTTTGAACCAAAACAATGTATTTCTGCTTATATTAATTAAGCCATTATTTGACATCCATTTTGTTTAAAAAATAATTTTTGAAATAGTGATTGATGGAAGATTATGTAGTTAAAAAGTAAGGAGAATTTTTGGATTTATGTATGATATTATTTTATTAATATAATGTGTGGTTGAAATGAAGAAAGAGAAATAAAATGAGAAAAAAATGGGTGTCAAACATAGACTAAGAGTTAAATATAAGAAAATAAGAATAATTCTAAATATTAATTGCAAATTGGAAAGTTAATATCAAGAGAGGAGGTTTCTGCCACTTTTAAAAGGGGAGGAGTGTTCCTGCAATTACCATAAACTTTAAAGGAGATTTACGTAATTGTCTCTTAGGATGCATTGAGCATGGAAAAAAAAATTTCTAGGTAATTCAATTGTTTAAAACTTATTTGTATTATGAAAATTATTAATTAAATGTTTGATTGATTTAGTTTTCAACCTAAAAAATATTATATTTGTCCTTTTTTTTATAACTCAAGTCTCCGAACTATACCCGACTAATCCTGAAGAGTGACGACCTTCCTCTCGGTACATTCGGATGCAGTCGCAGCTTATACACACTTGGACCGGATATATGGAAAGCGATTCTCCTCCCCATAGACCTCCCATTACAACGTGCAGATAGAACCCTCCGAAGAGATACAAAGCACACTATAACTTTGCCATCAGAGGTCATCTATTTTCCAATATAAATGTTGTCTTCTAACTGTCGCGAAAATTCGAATCTCCGATACTCCGTAGAGAACCCTCATGCTTTGTCACTGCACCATACCCGTGGACACTATACTTGTCCTTTTTTTATTGATGGATAGATGAAGAGGGAGAATTACCTAGAAATAAAAATCTCATCTCCCTAAATAAAATATTTTCCTTATTCTCAGGGAAAATATGATCACGTGACCAAAAGTTGAAAAATGTTTCTTTGAAAAAAATTTGTCAATCGAACAGTACCAAAAGTGAGCACTAGACCAGAGCGGCTCGCATGGCCAAATTGCTGCTCAACTCACCCCACATAACACCCCTAACCAGACCTGGCATGCCATATGAGTCGCACAAAATCTGACTAATGAGACAATAGTGATACAGGAGATACAGATATCTGCTAATAGAAAGAAATTCATGAAAAATTTCCTTCAAAAATAATAATTGAAGAAGTTTCCATAAAATTCAAAGCTACATTAATATTAACTTAAAAGAGAGGATTATGATGAAAATGGACATTCTTTTCCAATCTCGCATTGGCAGATTTTCAATTGTGCATACAAAAATGGAGTCCTACATGGTGTACTGAATGAAACTCCAACCTGTCATGGAGTTTCAGCAAAAATATATATACAAAGGGAAGACTTCGAAAGCTTTCTTTCAAAGTGTCCTCTTTCTATCCAACCTCATCCTTTATATCAAGGCCCAAAACAATGTAGAATAAATACCGCAAATAGGCCTTGAAATATGCTCTAGCTAATGCTTTTTTCATTGTTTGACTTGCTCTTCCAAGTATCATGGGGTCCAAATATTTCTTCAATCATATTGCTCGTTGGCAAAAGATCAACTGATTTCATCAGACCCGTTGAATACGTGCCATTCCAAACATTTGCATCACACGATTCCATTACAAACCCAAAACCAAAACAGTCATTTGACTCTGACTCGGGTGCAAGTTCAATTGAGAATTTTCTATGATCGTTTTTGTTCCTGTTATCTTGCCCCACACTCCCAAGACCAACTGAGCCCATGAAATCTGTCATCTGGGATTGGGTTTTGGATGAGAGACCAAAGAGTTCTTCAACATCTGGATCTCCTTCAATCTTGCTTGGAATTCCATCCAAATGATAAGGTTTATAATCAAATCTGAAGCCATCATGCAACTTCTCAGTCTCTAATCTGGACATTTGACTTGCACCATCATCCATCTCAATGGCATATCGCTGACCAACATCATCATTCCCATCAGAATTCCTGTCCTCATCCTCATCCTCAAGGAGTAGTAAAACTCTTCTTCTTAGATCTAAACAGTTAGTGTGAATATCCTGATCATCAAAAGACTCGACTATAGACTCTTCCTCCTCCCCTTCAAGTCGACAGAAGCCTCCATCTGTACCTTGCCACTCGTCATCATCACTATCGATCTCCAACAATTTAGATCTATTCTGGACTGACCGCCTCCGAAGAATAAAGACATTGAAATAATAGCAGACAATTTCCTTCTTTGTTCGACTTGGAAACACCACTGCAAGATGCTTCCAAAACCTTTTACCAAGAGACAAGGGATTAGAATAAATGACCTCGTGATAGACTAATTCATCTTCTTCAGTCCACTTGTGCGCCACGTCTTCTCCCATCTCATAAAATCCCAATTCCATGAAATTCTTGTCCCCAAATGTCTCTCTTAATTTTTCTCGTGCTTCATTTACATGTTGTTGCATGCATCTCATTGAACCCACATCCAGGCAACTACAGTCTCTTCTGCCACGTCCAACTTCGACATCATTGTAAGTTGAAGTATTTAAGTCAGGCATTGGAATGATACAAGTTCCCATAAATTTTTGTTCACTTTCAACAAAGCAGTTGGAACCCGAACAATCTTTCCTAGTAACATTAGAATCCCATGGTGGAAGATCTGCTTGATAAGTTAGTCCAATAGGAACTTTTCTCGTAGGAAAATCATTAAACAACGATGAGTACCCATCCTCAAACTGATATGATCCTCGAATAGGATCCAAAAAGTCAAAATTCTCTGTTAAATGAGAACAGCGAGAAGTATTCTCAAATCCAGCACTATCATCACCACTGCTGCTGGTTACCCATGATAAAGGTGCACTAGTCTCCAAGTCTTTATCAGCTACATTAAAAGCAGCATCTATGCAGTCATTTTCAAGTCCCTCATACAACTGCAGTTTACAAAAGTTTCTTCCATCTCCTGTGGCACAAAAAAGTATAATAATAAAGTCAATCGAGGACAACACATTGTGTGACTTCTGTATCTGACATTAGCTGTGCCAGATAACAACATGAATAAGCAGAGCTGCACATACTGCCTACTTCATTAAATAATTCACTGGAACACTTTTAGATAGACAAAGAAAGTTTTCCTAATTCATGTAAAGAAAAGCTTTCAAATTAGAAAACTTGATACATTTCCTCTACAAACCAAAAGCAACAGATCATGAACAAACTTCTCAAAAGAGGTATGCCAAAAATGAATACCATTTTGGATAAAATAAATGAGCAAACATGGTAAGTAAAATGGCAAATATTACCTCGCAGATCAACTTTTGGAGAAGTTCCATAATGTGGAAAATTCTCAGCAAATGGAGTCAGCTTATAATCACATTCAACACATTTAGCTTGCTTGAAAGACAGCTCTTGAAAATCCTCCTCATCAAAAATCCTTTTGACTCCCATAACTTGCACTACAGGACAAAACAACAAATCGTGCAATTTAAGACACTATTTGAAATGAAAAACTGGTTACAATATGATATCTGTTACTTATTGCCATAAGTTATCCAATAGGAAACTTTAGAATAATGTCCACGCATTACACACAATGTATTTTTGAAGCTTATGCATTTAATAACTTTCAAGTCTACAATATTGGAAAAGGAAAAAAAATATTTTCACCATAGATACAGAATCTTATGTATACAATATTGGAGAGTAGCATGCTATCTATGACCTGACCCTATGTACAAAACCAACATGCAAGACCCACCCAAATGTCAACCAGCATTCATAGCATTTTTCCACAAACTTAAAAACTACATTTGACTAGAACAAATGTAACAACAATATAACAATTTGCTGTGTTTTTATGAAAATATAACAACTAAATATGAAAGGAGAATATATCTATTAGAACAGATATAACAACTAAATATGGGTACATGACAATCATCTTTTGAATTGAATGCATTGCAACAAATTGAACCCAAGACATTACAAAACATTATGAACAATTAAACTTAGCATTCGAATAGCATCACACATTAGCTGCAATGATAGGAATGCTACTTTTCTGTGTTTTGAAAAATATAATAACAGCAGGAGACAGATCAACGGTTTGATTCTTATATTAAAGGAAAATAACCTTTTAACTATAAGTTCATCCACAATAAATAAAGAGTAATTAACATAAAAGAAAGAATTAAAAATGAAGTATTTCTTTCAAAAATAATTAAATTAAAAAAAAAATCCCCTTTTTACAGGGAAAAAATAATTAATCTCAAATAAATAAATATAGACAAAAATCAAACATATAACTCAAATTATTGGGACAAAAAAGTCGAGCTGGTATACAAAAAACCTAAACCTAGTTTCAGCCAAACTGATACAGATAACCACAAAATAGATATTAAAATTCAATTCAGAAACGGTCATACCAGATCCCCAAATATATTTACTGCTCAGAAGAACCGTAAGATCAAAGGATCACCTCAAAATTTGAAACCCTAGATCTCAAAGGGGCTCCGAATAATTATTTCTGAATCTAAGAACCAAAATAAGAATCAAAAGGGATATTTAAAGGCAAATTATTAACAAATTTACGGGTTGGAACGTACAGATCGAAGAATTGAAAGTGAAAACCTATAATTTTGTAGACACAACGGCAGGGTTTTAAAAGGGGCTAAATCAAAAGAGGATTAAGAGAATTGAAGGGGGCCGATGTTCAATTTGAGGATTGAATGAAAATTAGACAAGATTTGGATATTCGATTATCGAGGTCTTGGAGGGAAACAAAAATAGAATTGGGAAATTTTGGTACTATTTGCGTCGTTTTTTGTAGGGGGAAGAAGGATCCGATCAGAAGAAAACCCGAATACGATGACCCGGTTCACAGGACATTCACGTGTGGGATGGATAGGGGACCCAGTTAAAAATAGCATGCGCTATTATTGAGAATTTTATAAAGAGTTCAACTTTGTTAAAATAACTTTGTGATAAGTCACTAAAGTAAAATGAACTGTTCGATAGAAATTAAAATTAAATTTTAATAAATTTCGATAGAAGTTAATGAAATATATGATTAAAAAATTGTTGATTCTACGAAATATATTAATAAAATTAATTGTCGATTTTAACTTAAATTAAAATATAAATTTTAATTTTAATTTTTACCAAATCGGGGCATAATTTTACATAATTAGTCACCAAATTAGCTTGAATAACTGCGTAGACGTCGTTAAACATTTGCGTGAACTAACAACAATTAAAGCGATTAATTCTTTCTAACTGCCCTTTTGTTTATCTTTGTCGCATCTGGAGTGGATGTCGATAAAGGAGCGATCAATTATATGATATTATTTAACTTTCGTGACTAAATAGATCATAAAAATACTTTAATGATCAATTTAAAATTTGAATTGAACTTCAATAACTAGTTGTGAAATTAATTCAATTATAAAAGACAAGTGTCAATGCACGTCATGAGCTGTATTTTTCAAAATTTTAATTTATAATTTTAGTTTATAAGCCTCAAAATAGTTTTGTATTTTTATATTAGGTTAGAAGTTAGAATTTAATCTGAACTTAACTCATTGCAAAAATCTAAATTTTGAAAAAGAAATTAAGTCGACACTAGGATTTTTTTGGTGGTAATTACTAAGAAAGTGTTTAAATTATACAACATACTTATAATTAACAAATTTAAGATCAACTATTTAAATTTTTATCATTCTCGATTTTAAAATTTTTCTGATCATCGTAGAGTCAATGTTTGATTGAGGTTAGCCTAGAAGATAATTTTTCAAATATATATTAAAAATGTGAAATAGTGGATTAGAAATCTGATTTCGAAGGTGAATCTACCAATTTGGTGTTTTCTGATTCAATTTTCACCTATAATGCGATCAAATTTTAAATTAGTTTTTGACTCTTCAGAGGAACTATGTTTGATAAGCTTAAAGGAATGGGCTAAAGTGAAAAATAGAGAAAATATATTGTGGAGATAAATTATTTAGAAAGTAAATTAAAACTAAAAGCTTAAGGGAATGGCTAAAGTGAAAAATAAAGAAAATATATAGTCGAGATAAATTATTTAGAAAGTAAATTAAAACTAAAAGCTTAACTAATGTTTAGTTAATGCAATCAAGTCACACTTCAAATGGTTAGCCCCGTCAATTTAACTAATGTTACATGTGGATTTGAAAATTAAAACAAACGTATAACTATCATATATATATATATATCCATGTCACACAACAATGCACATCATACATCGTAAAATATTTTCTTAAAACGTCATATAAACAAAAACACGTGTTTTTACATGTAATTTATTCATTATTTTTGTTAAGAAACAATTCATATACCGAATCGCTCTAATAACAATTTGTTAAGAATCTCGCCAAATAATTAAAAAAGAGAAAATATGGACAATATGAAAAATAATAGATCACACAACGACCAAGATTTGTGTGAAAGTAAAGAAGAATTTATTATACCAAGAAACTAAAATTGTCTTTATAATATTTGATTTTTTCAATCTAAATCTAAACAATTCTCTCTCAAGTTTCTAATATAGGCAGAAATGATCAAAGTGCTAATGTGCGATTGGAGTTATAGATGGTGGTGGGCGATTGTGGCAGCAGAAGTTTGTAATTTTGTGGGAATGTGCCGGTCTGCTAATTTGTTGACTGGTGGCGAATTTGATTTTCAATTTTAGAGGCGATTATTGCAATACGGTGATGGATGAGATTTTCTTTTACTTCGGTTTTTTTTTTTTTTTTGAAGAAATCATAACCGACTTCAAATTCTGATGGTTCTGATTATCATCATGATGCGCCTGGATTTGGATTTGAAATGGGAAGACTTGAGGGTTCAAATGTGGGGTTTATTGTAGGACGTGGTAGATCCAGTGTATCCATTGCAAACCCAGTCCTCTTCTCTTATGTTTTTGGTGGTTGGATCAAACCCCGGCAATCCCCCATTATATTATCTCATCTTAGTCTCTTTTCTGCACTCCAAAACATACTTAATATGTTTCCTAAAGGGGTGGTTTTTTTGCCCTTTTTTCTAGCCCCTTTTTTGAGAGAAAAAGGTGAGGGATGGAATGGTTTTGGGTTTTGGCGACGGCGGCGGTGGAGGAGGTAAAGGGGGTAGAGGAGAAGAGAGAGAGAGAGAGAGAGAGTTAGTTTTTGTTATTTTTAATATTTTCATAAGTTTTGGACTGATTTGCACTTTTTAAAAAGTTTTGGAGTATATTGCAATTTATTCTTTATTTTTCTTTTCTTTTCTTTTTTGTTTTATTTATACAGGGGGTATAATGGTCATTTTATGTTAAAAATGGGTCAAAAGGACGTTTTGAACAAAAAATGTAAAGGGTAGATACGTTTGCGCCAAAAAATAAAAGGTAAGGACGTTTTGTACAAAACCGTGCAAAGGTAGAAACATTTTGTGCCAATTACCATTCCAATAATTACAAAGACTCAAATGATTTCAATTACAAAATAACCTAAATATAAGGGTTGGTTCTGAATATTGAAATATTCAGACCGACCCACCATACGCCGACCTAAAATAGCTTATTATTCCAAAACAGGTTTACATCAAGCCCTTGTTTGACAACCATTATTTTAAAATTCTTTTTTACGTACTCATTTTCAATTATATATTTACACAATAAAATATTCTACACAAACACAAAAAAATTTCATACTTTTTAACCGTATATTTTTTAAAAAAATCACTATGCAAAACTTCATTTTACTTTAAAAAAAAGAAAGGATGGCAGTCAAACATTGGCCAAAGTTTGTACTTCATTAGTTTTTTTTTTTTTACTAACTTTTTTCACCTTTTCGACCTCATTTTGCATATTCTTGATCATTTAAAGGTCATATAAATTTGCTAAGCTGATCGATATGAAGCAAACTTGGGCGACCTCAGTGAAATTTCCTCTAGCATTATCACATGATTATTGTAAAATCTACATGAAATTTGTTTTTCCATCCAAAAAGCTGCTTTTCTCTCTAATGGTTAGTTGCAAATCCTAATTCTTAACTCTGCTTAACATGCTTACCAATTGGTACGCAAAAACCCTAATCACATTATGTTTTAAGTATTCAATACTGTTTTTGTTCGGATAAGAATGCTGATTCTGTTTGGATTTGATCTGAATATAAGATTTAGGTATTGTTTTATTTCCTAATTTTTCATTTTTCTTTTGTTCATTTATGATGTCGTGTTGCGGGTGATTTGATCTGCGCGGTTACTTTTATTGTTTCATAAGTGACATTAGTTGGGGCGTGGAAATTTTGAAGCTTTTTAGTAGGAGAAGCAGTTTATTAACATTTGAAGAAGTGCTTTTGGTGATCTGAATTTGGTTGTTATGGTAGCAAATTATACAATTCTGTGTTAAATTTTGGATCTTTGATGGCTTAATTATGTGATTTCATGGTATGGTTTGCAGATTTTGTGGTGTAGTGATTGCTTATTACACGTGGGCTTCCCAATGCTAGTAAAGATTATTCGCAGGGGTAATCCGATAATATATGAAATATTGTATCTGATTATAGGTTGCCATTTTAGAGAATTTCGAGATTAAAGTTGAGGAGTGGGTTTTTTCATATTAGTTAAAGAGAACTGCAGAGATTGGACATGAGAAGCTCTTGGTTCAATAAACTACACCTGTTTTTGGGTCCTAGACCACCACTCAACTGGTTACTTTTGTGTCTAGTTGGTGTCTTAGTTCTCATTGCATTATTGGGATCTTCTTCTTCTAGTGTATATGATTCTGTCAATGCTTCTGTTAGACTTCACATTTATACGAACTACAGAAGGCTAAAAGAGCGAGCAGTGAGTGATTATTTGGAGTTGAGGAGTCTGGGAGCTAATCGCGTTAGTGATTTTGATCTTTGTGGCAAGGAAAGAGAAAATTATGTGCCTTTCTATAACATATCTGCAAATTTGCTAGCTGGTTTTAAAGATGGAGAGGAGTTTGATCGACACTGAAGTATCACAAGATCAATAGTATTGCTTAGTTCGTCCCCCTAAAGATTATAAGACTCCCATGACCTGGCCAATTGGTAGAGATGTTATATGGAGTGGAAACGTGAAGCTAAGCAAAGACCAATTCCTTTCATCTGGTAGCATGACGAAAAGGTAATCTTATCGATCCAAGTTAGCTATCTTTAGTAATTGGGAAATTTTTGACTTAACTATTACAAGAATGACAAAAAGTCAAAAGCCTTTGGGATTAAAACATGCTCACTTGGATTATGTACGCACTTACAAAAAATCTGTAGTTAATGTGCTTAGTGAGGCAACTGTTGTAGTTTTGCACATCTTTTCTCCTTATTGTTTATTCTTGCAACGTCTCGTGGTTAATGTTGCTGTAAGAAAATCAAATTGGGTCCCAAGACATTTTTCCTTGTGAGTTGAGGTGTAAGTTTCCACATGTTTGAGACACGAGGCTTAGACATACCAATGAAATGTTTCAAAATTATATACATAAAAGAATGATCAAATGAGTATCGGCGTTCATCTTATGTTAAACACTGATAACATATTATATGAGTTCATTGGTGAATGGCAAATATAATTCAAATATTGAGACCACTAGAGCCTAGAGGTGTCAAAATGGAATCGGCCTGTCATGGTTAGGACCCGAAATGGACTGGTCTTGCTATAGGGTCGGCCCATTCCGGTTAGTGAGTCGGGTCTTAACCGGTCTGCAAAATTTTGTACTGACCAAGAATGGCCCAAAATTCGGAATACTTCTGGGTGGTCCCCGAGTAGTCCAGCTCGCCTTCTCTTCAATTAAGGTTGTCACAGTATTGTGACAGACGTAAATTAAGGTTGTCATTAATTTGCATCTGCTATAACATTTCAAAATATTGTGACAGCTGTAATTATCTACATATGTTGTAAAAATTTCCAATTTATAGGTTGGCTTGGGATTAAAAATCTTCTTCTACTGGAAGGGTCCAAGTGTTGATATTTAGGCTAGCATCAAAGCGGCAAATGGACAAATTCTTAATCCAATTGGTTTGAATTAATAATTTGCACATACTTAACTATCAATCATTTGTGTATATATTGTTTAAGTACATCCCAATTAGGTTGTCACCTACTTAATTATGATTCAATTGTTCAAAATATTCTATATTTGCAAATTAATCTTCAACGATTTCTTTTGCAAGGTTTTTGAAGTTTTCATGATGTTGTCAATCATTTTATCTTGCACCCTCTTAGCTGTGAATATCTATTCTTTCATGCATATGAGGGCTTCTAAAATGTCTTCCTCGAGCCTTGACCTCCCAATACCTAAGCAAACTCGGATGCTGCTGTTGATACCTATACTTTTAGACTTTAGTAGTTCTCGTGCCATTTTTGATATTTTGGATACGACCTTGCATTTGTTTCCACCATCTTAAGATATCTAAATTTAATAGTTCATCCTCCGAAATTATACTGTAGTGATCAAATTGATAATATATTTCTAATTCAGCTGGTGTATTGTTCATGGTAGTATTACAATTATACGCACCGTGACTTTTCTTAGCTATCTTGAAATAAAAAGAAGCTTTACATTTAGAAGGTGCAGCAGAACTCGTAGAGGAACGAACACTTTCATCATTTCCATAATTAATTAAATAGGTATTACACAATTCATTAATAGAACATTCCAATTCTTGATTTGTAATATTTATATTAAAACTTAACTTTCTGAAATTTTTTCTATGGCACATTGAACTCCAAATAATTTAACACGAGGATCCATCACAATTGCCACGGGAAAATTAGTGGCATGTTTTCGTAATATTTTCGAACTTTTCTCCCATCGTATAAACAACTTGAGTAAATTCATCGTAACGGTAACTCGAAAATTGCTTAGTAATGTCTACTAATAGTAAAAGTACAACACAACTTCTGGGTAATAAACACTTGAACCAACTTTTGTTACCTTATAGAAAGTTTCAAAATCTTCTTAACCTTAAATGCAGATTTCCAATCTGAATCTTCAACATAAAATTGACTTTGCTTCGAATTAACGTAAACATTAATATTATTTGCATAGTCAACAACTTTAGCATAAAAAATATTGAATTCCATCTATTTGAATTTTCTTTTTCTAAGTCCAAATTTTTTGCAGATTCTTCTAAATTCTTGATGTCAAGAATTTGAAGTAGTATAATTAATAGCCTCTCTTATTCTGGAAATTTGTGGTGTTTCTAATTTCAAACCATCTTGCACAATTAAATTAAGTATATGACAAACACACCATATATGAAATAATTTAGCATCAAATTGGGGTTGAAGAGTTCTAATTAAAATTTAAATGCATGCAGTATTAGGTTTAGCATTATCAAAACTAATGCTTAATAACATGTAAAATGTCAAATTCATTGAAACCTTGCAATAAATTATCACATAAATTTGGATCATTCTGCTGTTATTCAAGTAAACGAAAAACAATAATTTTCTAATGTAATATCCAATTATTATTGGCAAAATGTGCGGTGACACAAGCATAACCCTTATCGTTACGTCATGTCCAACAATTAGATGTAAAAGAAATAATTCCATTAAAATTATTAAACTCAATTTTAAAATTTTATGCCATTGTATATAATAATTTCATAATATAGGAATGAGCAGTATTTCTACTTATGTTTCGATAACAGAGTTGTATATACTTTTTCATAAACTCCTCGAAATATTTATCTTCTGGAAAAGTGAAAGGCAACTCGTTTACTATCAAAAATTATGACATTCCAGTTCTCACTCTCTTGTCAATAAGAAAAGTTAGAAAAAGTAATTGATCCACATGGAGATTTAAAAGAAATAATTTGAGTTTGTCTAGCATCTAAATTTCTCGCTTCCTTAAGATGAGATTTTTTTGTCACTGTAGTGTGCTGGACTGCAAACCTAATATGTATTCCTTTGAACAAATTTTGTGCACTGCTTTTCCTTTTTCTAAATCAACTCTAAAAATTTGCTAGACATGTGATTTTATTTTTTATTGGCTAGATGATCCAATTTCCAGAGTATCATCTAAATTTATTGGAGAGCAACTATCACTTAAATTAATATTATCAGCAGAAAAATTGTGGAATTCTATAATGCAGTAGTAACTAATAAGTTACTGAACGAAATGAGAAAAATAATGTGTTTATTTCGTTAATGATAATGTAATATCCAATTATTATTGGTAAAATGTGCGGTGACACAAGCGTAACCATTATCGTTACGTCATGTCCAACAATTATATGTAAAAGAAATAATTCCATTAAAATTATTAAACTCAATTTTAAAATTTTATGCCATTGTATGTAATATTTCATAATATAGGAATGAGCAGTATTTCTACTTATGTTTCGATAACGGAGTTGTATATACTTTTGCATAAACTCCTCGAAATATTTATTTTCTGGAAAAGTGAAAGGCAACTCGTTTACTATCAAAAATTCTGACATTTTAGTTCTCACTCTCTTGTCAATAAGAAAAGTTAGAAAAAGTAATTGATCCACATGGAGATTTAAAAGAAATAATTTGAGTTTGTCTAGCATCTAAATTTCTCACGTCCTTAAGATGAGATTTTTTTATCACTGTAGTGTGCTGGACTGCAAACCCAATATGTATTCCTTTGAACAAATTTTGTGCACTGCTTTTCCTTTTTCTGAATCAACTCTAAAAATTTGCTAGACATGTGATTTTATTTTTTACTGGCTAGATGATCCAATTTCCAAAGTATCATCTAAATTTATTGGAGAGCAACTATCACTAAAATTAATATTAGCAGCAGAAAAATCGTGAACAAGAAAATGAATGTTGAATTGCTAAGAATTTATGGAGTAAATCTGTAAAATGAGTAAATATTTGTGTGAATAATGAATTCAATGTGTAAATAAATAGAATATATATAGAGTAAAAAATGAATATAGGCCTTGAAAATGGTACTTAAAGCATAAGCTTAGAGGTGTTTAATGAAAGGCGCACGAGGCGGGTATCAAAACTTAAGCCTCATACAGCTTTTAAGAACAATGAAAATTTATTTCTTTAGTTTTGGTGCGCTTCACTGGTTTTTGACTGTGTAGAGAAAGTGTCTCTTGTTCAATATAATATAGAAAGTTCTCTGATCGTCTTTATATATTTTTACACTTGAAACAACTCTTATATTTTTTCGCGTACTTTTTTGTTGGGTCTAATACATACTGTCTTGATAAATCTGTATTCTGCAGCTGAACTACAGGTGTGGACTGTTCTAGATATTGGCTGTGGATTTGGTAGCTTTGGCGCCCATTGGCTCTCACTCGAGTAATTGAGTTAATGCCTGTTTGTATGGCATCATATGAGTCAACAGGTAGTCAAGTTCAGGTAGCCCTTGAGAGAGGTCTTCCAGCAATCATAGGCAATTTCATCTCGAAACAACTCCTATTTCCATCCTTGTCATATGACATGGTCCACTGTGCTCACTGTGGCATTATCTGGGATGATAAAGGTATTCTTGTCATCGTGTTCTAGTACTTTTTTTTGCATTCCCATTTAAATCATCATTTATTTAATGGACTGGCTTCCTTCTTCCTTTTGCGTATTGTATCAATATGGGAATAATTTGAACCTTATAAGCCTGACTCACATGCATGTGGACACTCAAGCTCCTCTTAACAGTACATGTGCACATTAACCTTACTTGGTTATTACATTCATTGGGGAAGGGGGATGATTGAATTCTTTTTGATAATTGTTTTAGAGCCAAATTCTTCATTAGCTTTTCTTTATCTTTTAGGAAGTCCTCTGGTGATTGTTTGTAGTGACGTTTGATTTGAGTTGCTAAACAATAGTGGTTATGTCTAGTTGCCTAAAATTGCTATACACAAGGATATTGAGTTGAATACAACTCAATAATTTTCATCACGAGAAATCAGAAAGGACTTTTAAGTAATGTTATGTAGTGTGAGAAGAAACTAAGTTCTTTGAAATTAATTTTGTTTTCTCTGAGTATATAGTTGAGCAATTCCTCCACAAGGTTGCCAGTTAGAATTTCGTGTCTAATGGGTTATAATATTGACTGGCGCTTTCTTTCTTGTCACAAAGAAGGGATGAGAGAGGAACAAACCTGGAGAAGGAAGAAGATGCCCAACTGTTATAACAGAAATTTAAGTTGAAAGGGGAAGACATCTTCTGAATATTTGGCCTGCTTGAGTAATATGGGTCTATTTTAATCTGTAATAAGGAATGCAAGGGTTGTTGTCATTTTCATTATCAGTTTCAATAGCATTTCTGTTACAGAGAATTTCTTTTCTGGTTACTTCCCACATTTCACACTATTTTCTTCTTATTTCCCCCACCATTTTTGTTTTCTTCACCAATACAATAGAATAGCAGGTTTTAAGCAGTGTTATATTTAATTTTGTGCATGTTTGGGAAATCTTATAATTGCTTATAAGTTGGTCAAACTTTATTTTTATCCACACGTTCTATATTCTATAGGTCCCTCAACTTTCATCTACTTTTTGACCATACATTCTTTGGCAAATGGTGACTATACAAACTGAAATTTGGCACTATCTTCATGACTTCCAGAATGATCTATAAATAGTTTCTATATTGGCCGGCTTAATTTTGTAGTCAAGTTTTTCATAATGAAGTCTGTATAATTTTTCTCACTAACATGTTGCGGTTTTATATGAGACATAGGACACATATTCGAGGCGTGTTGGGACTGTGTCCCGGCATGTAGGTCTGATGTGTTCATCACTGATGCTCCACTCTAGTAAAATGTCCACTCTTTACAGACCTAGGAAAACTCATTTTTGGACCTTACTTATATTGTATTAATAATGATTTCATCCATCAGATGGATATTTCTTATTGAGGTTGACCGAGTACTCAAGCCAGGAGGTTATTTTGTTTTAACCTCCCCTAGAAGCAAGAAGGAAGGAAGCTCAATGGGCTCAAAGCAAGGAAGCATGTCAACTCCATTCGAAGAGTTCACCCAAAAAATATGTCGGAAATTTTTGGCTCAGCAAGAAGATACTTTCATCTGGCAGAAAACTGCAGATGCTTAGTGCCATATATCTCTAGGTGAGACTAGTGGCTATGCTCGATCTCTCTTTTTGCTCCTCACCCTGCCTCTTTTTTCCCCTTCCTTGCACCTTCCTTTTCCTTTTGCTTTTTCACCCTCCTATCTTTTATCATCATACTTCATCAATTACTCCCTGAACCCCTCACTATACTTTTGGTTCTTAATTTTACTGTGCCTCTTTGTCAAAAAGAGGATGTCCAATCATATTACCTACCACTAGTGCATTGTATAAGTGGAACAACCAGTAAGCAATGGATTCCAATTCAGAGCAGACCCTCTGGTTCTCTCAGCTCTGTTGAGCTTGAAGTTCATGGTAGGTGATATTCTTTAAAACCATGAAACTGTTGCTACTTACATTGTTCTGTCTTCATTTTCAATCTATGGAACATGGTAGAACCTGCCATTTTAGATATTGTTAGTATATTACGAGCAACTCGGATGCAGGAGTTGATCCTGAAGATTTCTTTGAAGACTTGGAGTTTCGGCAGTCTGCTTTAAGAAGTTATTGGCCATTGCTTTCCCCCTTGATTTTCTCTGACCATCCGAAGAGACCCGATATTGAAGATCCCTTACCTCCGTACGATATGATTCACAACATGATGGACATGAATGCCCAGTATGGAGGTTTAAATGCTGCATTTGTTGACGCAAGAAAATCATTGTGGGTATGAATGTTGTGACCGTTGGTGCACGTAATACGCTGCCTGTCATCCTTGATAGAGGTTTCCTTGGTGTTTTGCATGACTGATATATGTTAATTATAGATGACCCTTTAGTTATGTATTTAGGCCCTACTGCAGACTTATTTTGATGTTATGTTCCATTTAATAGAACAATCTGCTCAAGGGTTGAAATAATATCCATGCAAAGTCTGTTACATGAAAAACTCGAATTGTTTAACATCTTCATTTGTTCAATTTGTGTGTTAAAGAACAAACCTATTAATTTAATAAATGATTGCTATTAGGGAATGTTATGCCATGCTACAATGGATTCCTTTCGACATTGTATATGTTTTGTCTGACTTTATATAACTTCACGAACTCCACTTCCTACAACTATACATATTATTCAAAAAAAAGTATTAAATATTTAGAAAATATAACTGGAGCCTGAACTTGAGAGTTTGGCATTTTGAAATGAGATGCCTCATGTCAGTTGAAAATAGTGAATTATTATATTCATTTGGTATGCAAGTATTGTTTTCCTTTCCCCTCCTCAGATTTGAGTATCGCCCTTTTTCCTCTGAATTTTTGTCCATGAGTGTACTACTAAGTACTGACATAAACTCTATTAGAATTTCATGGAATGCTGATCCTGTTGTTCGAACAATTGAGCGCAGGTGTAAACCTTTTCCTACATACCCTCGAACATATGACATGCTTCATGCCAAGGGACTCCTCTCACATCTTGCTTCAAAGGGATGCAGTGTGATCAATTTACTTTTCAAGATGGATCGTATCCTAAGGCCTGAGGTAATTCTTCATTGAACTCTGTTATGTTTGTTTATAATTGTATAGAAAGTTTTGCTGCTACCTGTCGGCTTCATTTAGATCCTCACAGGTGCATATTTCTAGTTTCACCTCTTGAGTTTTATTTGTAAGATTGTTTGCTTGTGACAGGGATGGATCATTATTTCTGATAAGATTGGTCCAATAGAGAAAGAACGTTCTCTGGCTATACAGCTCCACTGGGAACCCCGTGTGATTGATCTACAGAGTGGTAGCGACCATCGAATACTAGTATGCAGAAGCCATTCATGAGAAAATCATCTATCCGTTTATGAAAGGACCGCCCAATATTTTTTTACCTCTGGTAATTCCTGTACTCATGAACTATGGCTGGCATTAAACCCATGAAACCAACCCAACACGACTCACTCAGTTTTTTGAACCATCCGTTTCGGTTTTCGGTCGGGATTTCTCCCAATCCAACTCGTGCCCACCCTCTACTGCTGAAATTGAAATTAAGATGGTCAAATCATACTATTTATAAGCTATGTAGCTTTTTTCAAAATACTGTCTTCATCCTGAATACATTTTTGTGTCTATGCATGGAAGTTTTCATTCATTCGACATATCATGATAGCGGTTAAAATGATTTTATTTTGAAGCCTTTTTGAATCACCTGTGTGTCTGGATTTACACGAGGCTTTAGCTGAAGAAGGTTGTAACAATCTATTAAGTGTCATAGGAATTCCACATTATTGTCTAGTCTAATTACCTTAATATGTGTCAAGTGTAATCTGATTTTGAAAATGTATACCAGGACTCCGTATGAAATTTGCTTGGCATTTTGTTTCACAGAAAGAATCCATCCCATAAAGTAGATGCAATCAGAAATTTCTGAAAGTTGTAGATTAGAGGAAAGTATGCTGCATAAACACGTAGATGAGTTCAAGAGCAAAAGAAGATTCTTTTAAAGGAGTTTGTTAGCAATTCATTAATTTATTTGTTTTGGTTTCCATAATTGTTTATTGTGTTGGTGATCAAAATGTGTTTTTTGCCGCTCAACATGAACGCTAATGATGTTGAAATGATAATCGAAATTCATGGTTTTTTACTCCTAATTTTTTGGGGTTCGCATATAATGTTTGTTTGTATGCATAGAGTTGTTAAGTGGGGCGAGTCGAACAGCAAATTTCTCATGCAAGCTGTTTGTCGGCTTGCACTGAGTTGGCTCGCCAGCACCCTCCTCATAAATGAGTGAAAAGCAATGTCAGTATAAAAAATAAAAATAAAAATAAAAAAATGGCAAGCATCGAGCAACTCGCGAGCAGCTTGGCTAGCCTCACCCAGGGGCAAGTTCATGGAACGGGCCGAGCAACACTTGGTGAAGAGAGCTGACCTACTCGCAGCACTTGGTGAAGAGAGCTGAGCTACTCAACAAATACACGCAGATATATTACTAGGTATGCCTCTGTGTTGTGATAGTTTGTGTTGCCTAGAAGAATATTGCAAAGATTTCTAGTTGGAGGAAATTTTTGATGCTGCGCCAAACTATTTCTTACTAAAGGAATAGAGTAGAAGCGTGCCGTTTCCCCGATTGGGTTTGGCGAGCAGTTAGTTTCAAACCTGAGTGAGTGATAGCTCAACCTCGATTACCTGACCCTGGATCGAATTAACACGAATTAATTATGTTATTTTAGACTCTCTCTCTCTCTCTCTCTTCATATGCCACAAAAAATATAATTAAATAAAAGTCATAAATTATTATCTTATATTCCTACTTCCAAAATTGTAAAGAAATTTTCTGTCATAAAAATGACAATTCTCTCATTCGCACATTCAATTGTTCTCACATGGAGCTTCAATTATATTTCAGTTCAAGAAACAAATGGAGAAAAATCCTTAAATTATCTCTTGTAAAATTTACACATTTCAAGAAATTTGTTGAAATTATTTCATTTTAATCTGAATAGTTTTTAATTGCAATTATTTAAAATAATTGGTATCTGTGAATGTGGGTACAAAACTCCAAAAGATTTCAATAATATTCGTTGTGTACGGACACTTCAATATCATGAACTATTCAAGATGCATACTATGCACGATAGTTCAATAAAAGTGTAGGTAATCGTTGTCTCCTAACTCATATTAAGATTCAATTATTCCGAACCAAAATGAAGAAAAATTTAGTAGTGGAATCACTCCGACTTTCACAAAAATCATTCTCTCGCGTAAAAGTTCTATAGTTCAAAAATTTTGTTTATTGCTATTTGCTACTACTTCAATACATGACAAAATCAATGTATGTTTTTCAATTTCACACACACACACACGCACATGTATATGTATTCATTTGCCATTTGATTATAATTAGTTTATGATCAAACCATTTTTTATCCACGCGTCGTAAGGGTATATAAGTAGTATCCACTTATTCAACACTAATTTCTATCTATTTATAAATTAAAACGATTATAAACAACTCCCAATCATGAAATCAAGGATTGGATTCAATATGGGGGTTAAAGAGCAAGGTTGAAAATTATACCCGTCATTACATCCAAAAAGATACTAATATCTTGGCAACATTTGAAGTAACTCATGAAATTACGTCCAAAATACTAATTTCTTGGCAGCATTCCAAGCAACTCCTTAACCTGGATTTTGACATGAATTACAAAAAGAACTGATTCCAAGGCTACATTTTCAAAAGACTGGCAAACAAAAGACAAGATAAACAAACTAAACATTGCCACCAAAAATGAACAAGTACCCATGTATTATCAAATCCTTACAAATCTATTCAATTTATATAGAGACCTGCTGGAAGGGAAATTAGGGTCATCACAATTTACAAGAACGTTCACAAGTAATATTACTGGAGAACAAAAAAAAATTTAGCCAGCATGACATATGAACAACTTCATAAACAAGCAACCGTATGTGGAATAGTCTCATTCAAGAATCTTCACTGATGAAATAACTTTGTGGCAAGCGAAAATCTTCCTCCTGACGCAGGATTTCAGCGTCTTCATCATCTGGTTTCTGCAATATCACATCATAGACAAGAAAGAATAATCAGTATTGAGTATCAAACTCCGGGTTTTATACTGAAATAAGTTACCAGCACGACATGACAGAGAACTTGAATGGCAGAACTCCAAAATTTACACATCCCAGGGTTCAGTCATAATGAACAAGACTGAGCAACTAATTCTTCTAATAAGCCTGGTTACCACATGATGTGCAGAGCTCATGTAAAATATTTAACCACGGTAAATTGATAGTTTTGAATTTCTGCATTTTGGTAAATTTCTTGTGAAGATGCATATAAGGAGTAAAGCAAACACTTATTCTTCGTCTAACAAATAACAACTAAATTCTACTAAGAGAATGCATTCCAAGGTTATCAGCTAATCATGTAGTGGAAATCCTGATGATAGTTAGCTAATACTGTTGCACCAACTTGTCTAAAAGTTTAAATTGAAAAAGAGGAGAAAAACTTAATTCATTTAAACTTCAATACACCCAATCACATTTCAGTCTCTTACAAAAAGCTTAAAAGCACAATTTACATGGGTGGCAATAGACTTGAACTTAGGTTCTCTGTCTGTTGTGATACCATTTTAAACCATGTAATCTAAAGGTTAAGCTATTAGAGACCACACACATTTATTTATTTAAATTTTGTCCCAAGCAACTACAAAAAATGAAACATCAATTATATCATTAATTTGTAAAGGTTCAATGAGGTACAACTTTCACAATCTGTTTACTGATAATATTCTCTCCTACTCAAAATCCAATTTTCCATTATCCAATGCTAGCTAATTCTGATGAACCAACCCAATGATAAGATAGCAACGTTGACTGGAAGAACACTAACCACCATTTCCAAGTTGTAGAAACGATTGAGCAATTTCAGAATATCATCCCCACTGAATGGCTGATTGAAACTGCATCAACAATATGTATGAAAGTGCTATACATGGAAATTTTGAAATAAAATCAATGATTATTTTAAGGATCACTTGAAATTCTAGAAAAGGATATAATCAATATAGTGTAAAAACGAAAACATATGCAAACCTTCTGCGCAAGTATTCTGTTAAACCGTAAAGCACAAAGTGTCTATGTATCCCTGCAAAGGGGGAAACAATTATAGTTGATACATCATCTAATAATTCTGGCTAACTTCCATGTAATTTTTCAGTTGTCTTTAATTATTAATCTAACTTTTAGCTCTTCCAAAGCAAAAAAGCTACTAATCAAGGCCAGCCAGCATTACGTTCTTGAATATAAACTTAAGGAACATGAATTTTGGACATTTAAATACCTTTAACTTCTGAAAACCAAAAGCTTAGCAAATAATGATCAACTTTAAGTTACTAAAAAATCCACATTATAAGGACGATTTCGCATTCCAACAAAATTAATAACCATGATTAACATTCTGCAAATTCCTCACACATCAAGAACGACTCCAATAAAATTTCAAATGTTTAGCTCTATAATGATACGCATACATGCAAGTGCATATTTACATTTACATTTACATTTATATTTATAGCATGATTAAAAACAGAAATAAACATTAAAAAAAAAAGAAGAAGAAACAAAAGGTAAAAGATAATAATTAATAATAAAAAAAAAATTGCCTCGTAGTTTGGCGGGAGGATAGATTTCGAGAGCTTCTAACAGCCTCAGTTCCAATTCCACCTCCGATTTCTCCTGAAACTCAATTAAATCAAATAAATAAAAATATTAAAAAATAAATAGATATCATTATCAATATAAACACATAACAGAAATGCATACATGCTCTATATATATACACTCAAAACGTACCTTTCGGAAAGAGGAATTGGGGATTTTGCAAGGCGAGTGTACAGAGACTCCATCTTGTTCTTGATCTTGATCTTGATCTTGTTCTTCTTGGACATCTTCTTCTTGTACTTTTTTCCTCGCTTTACCATTTTGCTTCATTTTTAATTTATTTGAATTTTCACTTATTGAATTCGTAGATTTTGAATTAACTTGTGGCATTTAGAATTTTGATATTGGGAATATTTTTGGGAATTTTGATTCTATTTTTTGAAATTGAAAGCTAGGGATTTGAGATTTCACAGAAATAGTTATGGGTAAGGTTGCTTACTGTGGGTTGGGCCTTAGTTAATTACTGTTGGGTCCGAAAAATTTATAATAAAGAATCCATTTCCTTTTCGACTTGGATCTAGATTCAATCCAATCCACTCCATTCCAATTTCCTTGTCGATTCTCTTTAAATTACTTACTAGTTAAGCCGAACGATTTTTCAAGATACATTTTGTTTAGGTAAACACTAAAAGAGCGGGACGTTGTACTTCCAAGATTGAATTTGAGTACGATCTTCGAATAGATCAATACAGAGACTTTTCTGACTAATCTTATCCAGCGAGTTGCCTTTCGTATCTCTAATTTTGATTGTAAACATGTTTGTGCTTTTCTTATTAGATCAAAAATGAATGCTTTCTTTGCAATTGTTACTAACAATATATAGCTTTTCTTGTCGTGACCTTGAGTTCATAACATCGTAATAAATTAATTCCTAAATTGTAAAATCCACCGTTTGATTTTGCTTTTAAAAAAAAATCTTTAAGAGGGACCACCTTCCCCCTTGATTAGCCATCCAGGTAAATCGGATGCGATCATAACTTATACACACTTAAACCAGACATTCGAGAAACAGTTTTCCTCCTTGTGGACTCTCCTTTACCTCGTGCATATGGGACCCCGAAAGGATGACAAAACGCACAATGACTTTGTCACCAGAAGACATCTACCTTCCAACATAAAATGTTACCTTCCAACCGCCACGGAGATTCAAACTTCCATTACTCGGTTAAGAACCTTTTTACTTTACAATTGCACCATGCCCATGGGCTAAGGCCGTCTAAAGTCATCTGCTACAGTAATCTCCCCATTCAGCACAATTTTTAGATACTTTCCTTGGTGCAACATTTATTCAAGGCCAAAGTGAGCCTACAGGTGTAAAATGTGTTGAGTCGTGGCTTGATCACTGAAACTAGTTCCGCACTTTTTTATTTTTTATTTTTTGGCTTTTCCAGAAAAACAAAATAAGCAACATGTTCAGCCACTTCTTCCATAAGAATTCTGACAATATAACAAGAAGAATGGTAAAGCCATCATCAGTAATGAAATAAAAACTGAAGTATACAATATGGAAATACGCAATAATTGGAAAACACAGATATTTCTGAGATATAAATCATTCCAATCTAAATTTGCTCATCCACAGCTGAATGTCGAATCTCAATATAAAACCTCTATGCCTGGAAAGAATACATAAAGAGTGGACAATTCAGCAGTTGCAAAAGAAGCTACCATGCCATCAAAACTCGAACCGACCAGGGATCCATAATTTACAGACAGCGGACCAAGATTCACCAAATGATAATGGAAGAAAACTCGAGAATACTAGGCGACCTACGCAGTCAGTGAAGCGAACGTACAGAAGTTACACATACCTGAGAATATAGCAGCACGAGTCAATGCCAAACAAGCACACTGCAAGACGAGAACTAGAAGGCTACACTAATGACATGCACTAGCTCCCGAATTTTCTTATTCTAAAAAGACAAATACAGAAGAATGAAAAAGAAGCAGATTTTCTTAATTTATAAAATTCAGAATAGAATATGAAGGTTAAAAAAAGTTTCTAAAAGAATGTGCTACAAGGATATCTTCTGCTCTCTGCTCATGCAAGTGGGATTTGATGCTTGAGAACTTACTATCATGCGTACTCTGTACTGTACTCAAGATTAAACAGCATGTCCCTCCGATTCTCTGTGCCCATCCGGATTTTGAAGTCTCGGGCCAAAGAGTCCACCCGATCATCAGCTTCATAGTCCATCTCTCGAATACATCGCCTTCGGACCTTTTTTAGGATTTCCTTTGAAGGTTCATATCCTGCACTTATCTGCTCAAGAGGATTGGACATCAATAAAAGAAATTAACAGCAAGGAGGAAAAGAAAAAAGAAAAAGAAAAATTAATGGCAAGATATCAATCACAGGAAGCATCCCACCATGTCATCAATCACAGAAATAGCAGCTTTAGGATCTCGTTGGATGAGATGAGCATTGACAAGCAGAGAATATGTTGTTGCATTTGGTTTTATGCCTGAGCTCACAAAGTGCTCATATACTTTCACAGCTTCATCCGTCTGCAGAAAATAATATATATAATAAGTCTTTCGTTGATTTAATATTTCGATGAAACCAAGTAATCGCATTAGATATGATGCTGTAGAAGTTCAGCATTTCACAAAAAAATAAAATCGTTGATACCAAGAGTGAGCATCAAGAACCATTACTGGACCGTTATTCCCTCGTAATTATACTACAATTATTGTGTTTTCAAAGTCCAAACTGATGGGGGATGTTAGGGAAGCAACCATTATAAATGTATCCATGCGCATTATGAAGCAAAAAATGATCAAACGCAGATATGAATGTCAAAATTTATACTTTGGAATGCACTGTGTTTCTTGTTCGAAATTTCGAAGTTAAATAAACAAGTTCTGTAAACAAGATTGCTTAGTTTTTCGGATCAAATAAAAATATTATAAATTTCAGAGAAGACACTACAGTATAGAGTTTTTGAGATTAGAAAGCATAACAAGTGAATTATAATGTGCCGAGAAAAATTTATTAGTTTGTCCAACAAAAGTTGAATTAGATAGCCTTCACAGGGCAGAGGGAATGATATGCACTACACAGTTCCAGAACAAGACAGAAATGGGTGTTGTGCAAACGTCAGTATTACCTTGCTAAGCCTCCCAAAGGCACATATCAAAGCATTGTATGAATGGATATTAGGAGTTAATCCAAATGTAGCAGCAATTGCACTAAATGTCTGATAAGCCCGATCAACATCCCATATATTTGCACAACCAAGAATTACACAGTTCAGGGCAGCAACAGACTTGTAAGGAGGATCAGCTTGGCTCAAACTTTCCAGCTGGTAATAAACCTGTCAATACGTCAAGAATGCAGTTAGCAACAACCAAATAACTCTTATAAGAACGTCATAATACAATTTTATCCTGGTAGTAAAATGTGAAGACCAATAACTGCCAGTGATAACAGCAAGTCAATGCAAGATATTCCAAAGGTGATTGAGATCTGCCCATCAACGTCGAGTGACATACAGGAAATTTCGAAATGGTAATTGGCATACAAGAAATCTCATGTATTAATGCTATTCAATTAGATTCTCAAAAATTTCATTTCATATTTTCTTCATATTGCACTCTGTAAGGCTGTAAGCCTTATTTTCTGCTAAATCTAAATGCATATTCTATCTAAAGAGAAATGAGATGGACACGACCATTGTCTCATCGAATTGGTAAGGCAGGAATGCCAATACGTATGAATTATTGAAAACAATTGGGGCCAATACTATTCATCCTCAATGTCAAGGACCAAGAACCTGTAAAGACCTATAGATTTTCTGTTATCGTATCTAGTTGGAATACCCATGAATCTAATTGGAGAAGAAACTTTCTTTTGACTGGGCTTATAGCACCTCAATTTACTCAGTTACATAGTTGTATTATATATTAGTAAAAGTGTGAATGTGCAATGGAATTAAAGGCACCTCCAAGAATGATTGGAAGGTTTTCCCAATTTAGCAAATCACAAGACCTCACCACCAACTGCATTGACAGTTCGCAGTTTTTCCATGGATATAGCAAAAGGCCAGTAATAAAATGCAATCCCATATTAAGACAAATAATTTTTTTTTTCTTATATTTACGTTATCATATAGCCAACTATACTATGTACGTGCATCTTACTAGTATTAGTGAAAGTGTGAATGTGCGATGGAGTTAAAGGCCCCTCCAAGAATGATTTGAAGATTTTCCCGATTTAGTAAATCACAAGACCTCACCACCAACTGCATTGACAGTTCGCAGTTTTTCCATGGATATAGCAAAAGGCCAGTAATAAAATGCAATCCCATCGAGAAATAAAGTTGCTTCTCATAACTTCATCATCTGTAAGCATCATGCACATAACTACTTTAACATTTTTAGATCTACTTTTCAAAATATTTAACTGAATTTCCTTCCAATGTTAGCTTCAGATAAGAGGAGGGGGGGAAATGAATTGAAAATGTTTAATATTGAGTCACAATTTTTCATCAATTGTCATTTATCAACAAAAGTGCCACAAGAAAATGAAATGGATTGTGTTTGCCAAGCACCTGAGAAGCACGTTAAAGAATTTGATTTTCTTAGCACATGCCAAAAATTATAAGATGCATCTAAGACAGAAAAACATACTGAATCCAGCGTTTCAAAACCCTTTTTGCAGCATGCCACAACTAAAGGATTCAAAGAGGTGAATGGAGAGAACAGATCTTCGGTTGATTCTTCCGTAGAGTTTCCATAAGCTGTCTCAAGTTCGTGCAGAGTACCAAAAGCCTTCTGCAAGTTCCCCAAGCTAGCATGAGCATATAGCTTGCCAAGGTATGATTCAGGATTTGGGACCTTCTTCTGGCGCAATGATCGCTTAAGAATTGCCCATGATCCATCCAGAAGTTTAGAATTATAAGTCCTACCTGCAGTGCCAAGGGCAGAGACAACTAACCCTTCACCAACAGAGAGTAGAACAGGAGGCCTTGCACTCTCCCCCCGAGCAATCCACTTTGCCATAAACTCAAGGGCATAGTAAGTTAATTCACTGTTATCCGCTTGCATCGCAACATCTGCAATATAATTGCATGCGGCCCAAGGTGGACATAAGGATTTGTTTTGATCCATTTTCTGATCAGATCAGTAGAAGCAAAGTTGGTCACAATAAATAATAATAACGTACTTTGTATCTTATTGAATAGCCAGCCAGTGTACCTTGCATCTCTCTATAATCGATACCAACGTATCAAGCCTCACATTCTGAACACAGCTTTGGACGCACTTCGTGAATGTATTCATTGACAACATATAACCTGCCTTTAGGGTCAGATCTATATATTTCAGGGCAGTATCAATCTGGTTTGTTACAAGCAGCATGCCTATAACCAAGTCAAATGACTCATCATCAGGTAAAGATTCCTTAAATTCTTTTCCTGTCTGTATCATCCTGACATCAAGTAAAGAGTCATCTATCATATTAGTAACCTTAAATTAATCGTTTTCAGAAATGTATGCAAAATGCCCATAAACAAAATTTGGGATAGTTATAGAGATAAAATGAGAGTGGAAAAGGCCATGCTACACACCTCGTCCCTTCATGAAACAAAGACAATTTAGTACATTAAACATGTATCCAGGTCATTGAGTTTACAGAATTAGTACTTCATAGGAGCTGAAAAGAGAAATAAAGATGGTAAGAGAAAAGCAAAACAAATGCTCAGAAGGCTTTCAACGTATATTTTTAGGAAATTAACAAGGGACAAGCAATAGAAAATTCTGCTGTTTACTAGAATTTTCATTTATTTTGAAAGGGCACCTGTCTAACTCAAGTATACCAGACGCAAGAAAGGGCTGAGGGCAGGAAAGGAAATTGNGCTTCTGCTGAATCCAGTAGCAGAGCTTAATTCCCAACCATTTAGTATAAATACAGAAATAGAGATTAAGTTCTCAGCCTATTCTTTCTCGTTTTGCTTTCATCTTCATTTCTGCTCTGAAAACAGGCGGTGATCTGCATCTGCAGCTGAAATTCGTATCAGAGCATTTACCTTGGAAAATGACTCTTGACAGTTGGGTAGAGTCTTTGGAAGCGAGAACTGACCGCATACAATTGGAGTTACACGAGCTAGGTGCAATGAAATCTGAATTTAAGAGAGCAATGTCTATGATGATGGAGAAGTTCGATCTGATGATAAAGAACGGGATGGGCAGGGAAAAGTAAGGAGAAAGGGATTGTCATCACTTCGCCAGATCCCACATTTAAATCTGAAGCTCCGCTGAAAATTCATGAGACAGAGGTAGGCACTGAGGTGAGGAGTCGCCGTGAGGAACCAGGGACAGTCGAAATACGAAATCAACTGCTGGAAATGCCTATGTTCAATGGGCAGAATTCGGACGGCTGGATATTTCGTGTGGAGAGGTACTTCAATGTGAATCAACTCATGAATGGGGAGAAAATCGAAGCTGCGATAGTGCGTTTTGAAGGGGAAGGGCTTGGTATCAATGGGAAGAAAGCAGACAGCCCGTGCGAAGATGGGAGGACTTGAAAACCTTGCTGCTGGAACGGTTTCCCCCTTCGCAAGAAGAAACTATTTTGTTGAAATTCTTGGCGCTAAGAGGCAAGAGAGCACGGTCAAGGAATACCGGAAGATGTTTGAGATTTTGGCAGCCCCCTTGCCGGCGATTTCAGAAGAGGTGATGGAAGGTAATTTTACCAATCAACTGAGGCCAGAGATTTGAGCAGAAGGAAAGGCGCTAAAGCCTTAAGGTCTGGGCCAAATTATGGAGCTAGCCCAAAGGGTTAAGGACATAGTAATCCTTTAAAAAGGACCCAAGCTATTTCAGGTCCATATAGATCTAAAATAATAACTACAGCCCAAACAAAAGTTTCCATATTTCCAGCCCAAATAGCAATCCTAACCCTCCCAACTTATCTTTCCAGATAGTGTATTCAATTAACCAGGCAGTGAATTTCATTGCGGCTTGTCGAGTTCAAAAATTGGTCATTTTGTGGGTAGGGACAACTACCTATGGAGTTGCCTTGGATACTATGCATGTTATAGTTGCTCAACTCAGTAAGTCAATCCACTTCAAAAGGATGAAACGTCCCTTTTTCGCGGTGACCATGGCTGGAGTTCTAGCAAAGAAAATTGTGTGGTTGTACGACAAATTGATTAGACAGCAAAGACTTCCGCCTTGAGGACAAGGTGGATTTTAGAGGAGTAATGATAGGCCACCTGTCCAGCTCAAGTATACCAGACGGAAGAAAGGGCTGAGGGCAGGAAAGGAAATTAACAAGGGCGATAATCAATCAACACATGGGGATAACAGAAATGGTTGAGGGAGTGGTTAGAGAACACAGTATAAATACAGGAAGCAGGGGAGAAGCGAGAGGGGAGGGGGGGGGGGGGGATTAGAAGGATCTAAAGGAGAGAATTGAACCTCTCGAAAGTCCAAATATGTTTTGAGTTCATTTTCATTTTCATTGCACTACATTTACATTTACATAGCTGTACAAGCTTCTGCTGAATCCAGTAGCAGAGCCTAATTCCCTGCCATTTACTAAAAATACAGAACTAGAGATTACATTCTCAACCTATTCTTTCTTGTTTTGCTTTCATCTTCATTTCTGTCCTGAAAACAGGTGGCGATCTGCATCTGCAGCTGGGGTTCTATCATATTTCCTATTGCAAAGAAGAAGAGCTATACTTATCTATTTATAGACGCGACCTCTCACACTCCGCACAGTGGGAAAAATAAATAAAAATGAATTTTCAGATCAAAGGTAATAGTTTTTGACATGTGAAGAGTGGAACTTTTTCTCTGCAGCGCTCATTTCAGTAATTATATCTTATGCTTAAGGAATAAAACTTGATAAAAAAGAAGGGCCTCAAAACAAATCCTAAGTGCGCTGTTCAGTTTATAAACCAAAAAGGAATAAAAATATACAAATACTTGCAGGCCATTGAGCAGCATGTCCAACTACCAACACGATACATTTAGATTAGTAGTCCAAAGATAAAAAGAGGTGGTCGGTCCTAATGTGAGGTACTCAATATAAATCTTCCTAACCCTTTACTGAAGGGTGTCATGCTCATCATCAACACGAGGCCTTGAAAAAACCCACATAAATTGGGTACTGAGAGCCAATTTAATGTCTACCTCTAACTTCACATCTATGGTCCCGTTCGGGAGGGATTAAAAGCCAATTAAAATTGAAAATATGGCCGTTATTGGGTCCCACTCGTCTAATAAAAGTCAACAATAACGGCTATATTTTCAATTTTAATCTGATTTTAATCCTTCCCATACAAGGCCTATGTATCATGTTTCCTAGTCAAATCATGCGGTAAGGTGGGGTAATTGTTTGATATCGACACTAAGCATCTATGAAGTAAATAAGGATTTCATTAAGTGGGTGTTTGGTGAGGATTAAAATTAGATTTTTAGTAGATTGTAGTAGAATTTTTTGAAATTTGTGGTTGAAAAGTTGTGGAACCCATGAAAAATGTGGTTAATATTGATTGTTTGACTTTTGACTTGATTAAAATCTGATTTTAATCCGAAACAAACAGAACCTAAATCTTGGATGAGTTGACTTATGGTGATCTTATGATCAGGGTATGCAATGATCATATTATTAGATTAGGGTACGCAATGATCTTATTATTAGATTCCTTTTCTTTGTATGTGTCTCCTTAATATTTTCATCCTCCTACAACATAATGATTGAAGACACAAATCATTTCATTTTGCATCTCTTCAAATACGAGGCTCCAGATTTCCACTATATATTCAGAGTCAAAATATCAACTTTCATGAAATCTGATAAGCTTTTAATTCTTTCCGGAACATTTTTCCGATTGCCAAAGCACGACTTGCTTTTAACATTGAGATTTTCAGGATGATAGTTTCAATATCTATCTCATCAAAAGCTTACAATGGCTAAAATTTGTGACTCCCTCACTTAAAGAAACGGGGATAAAAAGTAAAAAAAATAACTCTCTCATACCTCACTAAGTCCTAGTTAAAATCATTATTATAATATTAGTTCACCAAAAGTTATAATCTTTGTCTAGAGCCAGAAATCCCATGACTGCAGCACAAATTTTTTTTATAAGATCCCTTTCCACTTTCAGAAGAATTTCAACTTCACTTCCACATCATTTCCTTAAATCATAAACCTCTGCAATATTATTTCTTTAATAATTTCTGCAATGCCAATGAACAAACTCATAGTATTAAGGTACTTACCCCGTTAACTGTAACGCCACAAACAAAGGATAGATAAAGTAGCTAATACAAATTGTGTGTCATAAGCAAAAGACATAAATAACTAAAAAATCACTTGTGGTTGTCTGTCATATTATTTAGTCTCAAATTGACTCTCAAACTTCCATTAGAGGTCAAATTTTGCCCTTAAATGGAATTTGTCCACATGGTGAATAGTTGTTAAACTACCCACCAGCCCCTTCCCCACAACTGCCATTACCACCATCACATTCCCAACCATAACCATGAAATACCAAGCTTTCAGCACTCAGTTTTCCATCTTCTTTTGACTGATACTATCTAAACAACACCAAGGCTCAGAACCACAGCAACCTCCTCTGATCGTGAACAAAACCATGTTGTAGATTTTGTTTGTTCAAGAAGTCCAATGGTTTAATAACATAAAGTTTGATTTTAGAACAGGAAATGAGGCCTCCTAACAGGTTTCAGCTTTTCTCTCTCTTTTTGTTGTGTGTGTGTGTTGTCTCAGGTGTGGGTTGAGTTGACAATAGATACTGTCACTGATGATGGTGGGTTTTGGGGGCAATGGCTGCAGATGGCAGACTACAAAAGTGGAGATAGTGCATGGTGGAATAGGTGTTGGGAAGGGAAAACGGATATATCTCTACATGCAGATGAGAGAACTAAGATATGGATCAGCGAGTTTGTGTATATGCCTGCATCAGAGCATTTAAGTGCTCGGGATATGGTAGGCCAAGCACGCCAGCATCCATTTTGTGAACATCAATATGGTAGTAGGGCCAAATATGCCAGAATTTGCGAACATCAAAAGTTCGCGAGCAACAATAGTTTCATTTTTGTTTCGAACAGATTAACACTAGAACCATAAATAGAACTGAAGCTCTCGCTTCATTTACCAAAGACTACAAATTGAACTGTTAATTCTGTTCAAAAATATCTTCGCAAATGCAACTCAACTAAAAATATGTGATACAATTCGTACTAAATTCAATTTTAAATCTCCATAACCTACAAGCATAACATTACCATATAACAAGTTTGCAATAGGAAAATAAAAACTGAAACCAGCAGTGTAACAATTAGTTAAAAAGTACAAAAGTTATAAAAAGTATCCAACCTTTCGATCAATTTCTCCGCAGCAAGTGTTTCATTTGCCTTGTGCATAGCTTTTAAGACCAAGTTAAACGAGGCAGTGTTGGGCATGATACCGTAATCGTCCATTTGTGAAACAAGGTCCAATAACTCCCCGGCCGATGCCCCAATCATCAAGTTGGCCCTCAAATAGTGATTATACAAATCGACATTCGGCTTATTAGGCTTTCCATTCTTGTCCAATGCCCTAATCCAGAATTCAAACAATTGCTTCATATCAGCCCACCTCTGCGAAGTCATCCAGTCAGCAAACTGATTCATCAGGCTCTGAGAATCAAGCGTTAGGGAAAGGGATTGGATGCGCGCGGCGGAGGACTGGTTAAGGAAGCCAAGGCCAAGGGGGACAAGAGCGGGAGACGAAGAAGGTGGAAATGGGTTCCTCCAGTTCTCATTGTATAATGGGCTGCCAGTGGCCGGGTTAGGTGGCAGAGGAGTGGTGGCTTGCGGCAGTGGTTGCTCCGCCAGCTGTGCTTCCTGAAAGAGGTGTCGGAAGGTGGATATGGATTTGGAATACTTTTGGGTTTTGATTATGCTCCTTGATTTCGTTAGAATCGCCATTGACGCCATTTTTGCAAGATTTCAAATGTCTGAATACAGATTTTGTATGTGTAGCTAGAGAGAATTTTTCATTGAACGAGAGAGTGGAGTGAAAGTTGCTAGGGTTTTGGTTTCCAATTTGTTTAATTCTTCAATTTGATATGATAATTAGTGAGGGTATTACGGTAATTCCATTAACCTTATCTTCTAGAAATGTTTGCAATCACGGGTCTCAAACCTTTTATAGTTTTGTAATGTAAACCTAACCTTTCACTTGCTTCATCCACGATCCCAAACATTTCATTTCTTCGAAGTTTTCATTCATATGTCCGTTAGTTAATATAATAATAAATTGATTTTGACCACATTTTTTATAATTTCAAAAAGGGTAAAATAATAACTTATATATTTTACATAAAATAATTACGCCCTTGTTTGATAAATCATTAAAAATAGTTTTTTTTTTTTTTTTTTTGAAGAAAGCGAGTTTTGAAATAATTTTTTTTTAGAATGTTAGTAGAAAATAATGTTAATATGATATCAGGTGCATCGAATATTGTTAAAAGTTCCAGAAGAGCTTGTATTATTTTACCAAATAATACAAAATTATATATTGAAAATACACTTTATTTTAGCAAATTCAGAAGATGCTTAATTTTAAATATATCCGCTGTAATGGATATCACATTGAGACAATGTAAGAAAATAATGTTGAATATCTTTGCATAACGTTTTTTGTATCTAGCCATGAGCAAATAAAAGAAAAATTTCATGAACTCCCATCTGACATGTATTATATATTTATAAAATTGTTGAATCAAATATTATCATGAATCAGAAGTTCGTTGATCAAAAAAATTTTATATTTTAACATGATCGACTTGGACATTCAAGAGCTAAATGATGCGTTGAATAATAAACAACTCACACGTACATCCTTTAAAGAATCAGAAGATTCTTTTACCTAATAATTATCCATGTGTAGCTGTTCACATGGCAAGTTACTACAAATGTCAATATTGAATCTCCAACTTTCTTGGAAATGATTCATGGAGATATATGTGGGCCAATGCACCCATCATGTGAGCCATTTCATTATTTTATGGTTGATTCTTCTACTAGATAGTCACATGTTTCCTTACTTTCCGCTAGAAATGTAGCTTTTGCTATACTACTTGCTCAAATCATAAAATAACAAGCGCAATTCTCCGATTACTTAATCAAGATGATGACAATGCTAGTAAATTTAGATCACAAGTATTCGATGATTATTGCATGTCAATTGTGATTGTTGTTTGAAATTTACGCAGTTCGACCCTAACAATACCTAGAAGGAGGTGAATATTTATATTATGCGGAATTAAAAATATTATAACAAACTAGCAACAAATCACCAATTGTTATCTCTAGATGATTAAACAATCATGTCAGATTAATCCTATATTTGAATACTGCAAATTATATAAATAATAAATAAAGCAGTAAATCAACACGATATGATCACGGAGAAACCCAACTGGAAAAAATTTCAGGCACTTTATCAGTCAACAATCCACATGAGATAAACGATTTGTAACTTACAGTCTACAAGTCTAGACGACGACACGTACTATCTAATCTCATGAATGCAATTCCAACAGTTTTCCTGGATTCAGTGCTCCTGCACCACTCCCAACTGCAGTTTCCAAAGCTCTCCTAGATTCTACTCTCCTGCAACAAGTCCCAACTTTGTAAAATCGTTTATCTCATGTGGATCCACAAAGAACACCGCGTTCTTCATCGACTGAAACTTCCAGTCAACTTCCATCGATTTTCAGCAACTCTGACAGATGTGATGGAAAGAACCGTTTGGTATTTGGATTATAGATATGATGTTTTTCTCACCAAAACAATATCAAGATGAATGTTGAAAAGACAAAATATGGTTAATCTCTCACGGATGAAACTCTCTCAATGTTCAACTTTGTAACTTTTCGTACAGATTTGTTCTGGTATATAGGTAGGTTAGGAAACGAATGGGCCGGGTAAAAAACCTTCAAATCGCGAAATAAAAATTTCTCGAATAACCACGTCGCTCAGCGAGGACTCAGTTACAGTCGAGCGATAACATGTCGCTCGAGCAAAGGAAGGGCGACAGTCCATGACGATGTTTCTGCTTTTGTAGCTCGAGCCAAACTTTGGCGACAGTCTAGGGAAAATTCGCGCTGTTTTTCTCATTTTTTCATTTTCAAACCCTAGATCTAATAACCATATTTTCAACTATTTGCACATTATTCCTTGACTTTTTAAATATAGTACAATTCAGTCTTTCTGTTTACAGAATTGCCAATTACAAAATATCTAAAACCTAACATTGTTGAACATTCGGTTGCACATATCCATATACAAAATGGTTTGGCGGGGTTATTTATTAAACATTTACAACTTATTGATAGACCATTACTTATGAAAATAAAACTCTCAGTTTCTGTTTGGGGTCATGCCATATTACATGCTGTGTTATTGGTTCGTATCAAACTAACTGCATATTATCAATATTCACATTTGCAACTGACATTTGATCATAAACTTAATATTTCTCATCTACGGATTTTTGTTCAAGTCCCTATTTCAACCCCACACCAGATTAAAATGGGCGCCCCCAACGAAAACTTGAGATTTTATGTGGGTTTTGATTCGCCATCTATTATTAGGTATCTTGAACATTTAACAGGTGATTTATTTACTGCACGTTTGCAGATTGTCATTTTGATTAAATGACTTTCCCAACTTTGGGAGGGGAAAAACTATATCCTGATGAATAAGGTAAAATTTCATGGAATGAAATAACTCTATCTCACTTTAACCCCCACAACAATCAGTGTAAGCGAGATATTGAAAAAATTATTCATTTGTAAAAAAGTTGCAAATCAATTACTAGATATATTTGTTGACACAAGAAAAATGACAATACCATATAGACCAATAGAAAATATTTCAGCAAAAATTGATGTCCCTACAAGATAATTTGCTGTATCAAATGAATCTCAAATACGTCAGAAGCGTAATCAACTAGTTGGTTCAAAAGATTCTGTACCTCGAAAAGAAACGCACGAGAGAAAAACCTACCAAATTTTTTTTGAAGAAGTAACATTTACTGTTTTAAAAACTGACCCGAGTATCGACCCAGAAAAGGAAGAGGGTTGAACCAGTATCAAATCAGATGACAAAATAAATAAATACACAAATAAACTATAAAATATCATAACTATAATAGCTTTTTTAATTTTAGTTTACTTCAAAGTAAATATAATTCATGTTTGTTAATTAGATTTATTATGGTAATTTATTTTATAACCTCAAAATCTAACAATTAATATGTCCAAAATAATTTGCTTTGTTCAAATTAAAATTGTTTTTGATTATAATCTTAGGGGTTATGATTTTTTAATGAAAATGATAAAGTAAACTATTAACCACTTAGAGNTCATACCCTCTGTGACTTGCATTGAAAAACTTTATAAAGAACTTGTTTGGTAGAGATTAAAATGAAATTAAAATTGAAAAACTAACCGTTATTGTTGACTTTTATTAGACGAGTGAGACCCAATAACGGCTATATTTTCAATTTTATTTGGATTTTAAGCCGTACCAAATAGGCCATTAGAATTGACAATTGGCTAGCATCCAACATTGGAAGATTATTACAACATTGAAAGAAGAGTCTCATTTAAAAGTGAGCTAGTATCTCACATTGAAAGATTACTAAATCATTGGAAGAAGAATCTTCTTTAAAAAGGAGCCAAATGAATATCACTTGTATTAAAAAGTTATTTGGGTCTTCTATTGCAAGGTGGGCCCCATCAAGATAGTTAAATTTTTTTTATAAAAAAAATAAAATTATTTTAAAAGTATTAACTAGAAAAATCGCAGCCGATTCTCTGGTTCACGATTAAACCGACCGGGTTGATGGTTTATTAGCCGATTTTTTGTTAACCGATTAATATACAAGTACCAGACCGGATTAGAGGACGGTTCACAATTTTTCCACTTGAACCGATCGGTCCGATCCAATTTTCATAACATGACAACATTAGAAAAGATTGATCAATTAAATATTAAAAATATGGTTCCTGAAAAATCATAATGTCTGAAAAATAATGAGATTTCAATAAATTATATATTATCTCATAAATTATGGGAACGAAATAATGTTGTTATAGACAATATTTTCGCATTTAACATGGCTCTTGATATTACGTAAATGAAGATCTTGAACCACAATCTGTTAAAGACTGTCTACATAGAAATAATTGGCTAAAGTAGAAAGAAGTCATACAAACAGAATTGAATTCCTTAGAGAAACGGAAAGTGTTTGGACACGTAGTTCAAACACCTGAAAATGTAATCACTGTTGGATACAAATGAGTTCTTGTATAAAAGAGAAATGAAAATAATGAAATTACATAATACAAAGTCCGACTCGTAGCTTAAGGTTTCTCACAAAAACTAGGAATTGATTACGAGAAAACTTATTCTCTCGTAATGGCACCATTACCTTTAGATTCTTAATTAGTTTGACTGTATCACAAATGTTCGATATGTGTCTTATGGATGTAGTGACTACCTATTTGTATGGTGCACTTGATAGTAACATATAAACGAAAGTTAATAGGGACTTAAAGTGCAAGAAACAAATGATACATGCTCGAGAACAATGTTCTCAATTAAGCCCCCATTTGGTGCACATTTTGAAGGTAAGAATGCATTTTTACTGTTGATGTGATGGAGAATATGTGGTTGAAAAANTAAGAATGCATTTTTATTGTTGATGTGATGGGGAATATGTGGTTGAAAAAGAAGGAAAAGTTATTGATGTGATGAAAAATATTATTGTATTGAAGAATGTATGGTTGAAAATGAGTAGAAGAATGAGAATGAAAAAAATAATGTAAACCAAACAGGGCCTAAATTGCAAAAATTATTATATGGATTGAAACAGTCTAGACGCATGTGATATAATCGCCTTAGCGAATATTTGTTGAAGAAAT